TTTGAATTGCACCGACATCTCTTTTCTAATTTTGGTCATCTCTTTGCCCTTGCAATTTAAGTTCTTAAAGTCATCAATTAATCCTTTCATTTATGTGATAGGCCTGCATTTAAAATGAACATTTACCACAAATTAAAGGTATTTTATATTATTAGATATATTATTATAAAACATGCTTTTGTTAAGGAGTTATTGATACTTCAAGTGCAAAATGATGATATAAAACCATGATAAAAATGCATTTTTAAGTACTAATCAACCAGCCGACCAATTTTACACCCTCTCTAGCCATGGTTTTAGCCACTTTTGATACTCTTCAACTCTCATTTCCTCTCTATGGTTCAAGAGGGATGCATACAACTATGTTGGGGGTCCTCTCTTTGGGAAAGAGGGAGGGGGTTTGCTACATAGCTGGCTAGTTTTGGGGAAGAGCAAGGGTCGCCCTTTCTCTCTTCTTACATTTATACCCCTCTTCAAATGAGGTAGGGTGTTTAGAGTTAGTTTAAATGTTTTGTCCCTACTTTGGTTTCTCTAAAATCAATTCCCCCCCCTCTTAACAAGTTAAGGGAGGCCGCTTTTCTCCCTTAAACTCTTACATAGCATGAGTTAGCCTTTTACTTAGATTTCTATTGGATATTACAGCCATGACTGACACATGAATTTATCAGCACACACAACCATTGACTCAGAAATCATCAATGAAAACTAAGTCACTACCGATTCAGAAATCGGTAACGAAAGTAGTATTGCTACCAATTTAGAAATCGATAGTGACGATGGGGTCGTTTCTCACTTTGTATTTTTTTGTTGTTTATAGCTTTCATTGATGATTTCTAAGTCAACAATAGATTGTGTTCCTAAAAATTCCATGTGTAAGCCACGAAATTAGTTTTTGTTGATGATCTCTAAGTCAGCAGTGACTTAGTTTTCGTTGACGATTTCAAAGTCAATAGTAGATTGTGTTCGCTGATGACTCCATGCATCAACCATAGAATTAGTTTTTGTTAATAACTTTTAGGTCGGCAGCGACTTAGTTTTCACTGACGATTTCTAAGTTAATAATAGATTGTGTTCGCTGAAGATTCTATGTGTTAGTTGTGAAATTTGTTTTCGTTGACAATTTTTGGGTCGATAACGACCTAGTTTTCACTAACGATTTGTGTCACCAGCGATCTAGTTTTTGTTGATGATTTTTGTGTCACGACGACCTAGTTTTTTGTTGTTGATTTATGTGTCACCAACGACATAGTTTTTGCTAATGATTTTCTGTGACAACAACAACTTTAGTTTCTTTTACAAATTTCATGTCAGAAATAATTTAATTCTAGTGATAATTTTGTCATCAGTTTGACCTAACTCACTACAAAACCCAAGAATTAGACACTAGGATGTCCATGGATAACCCAAGTTTAAAATTAAAAAAAGTGTCTTGATATAATGACCTTCATTTTATGATTATATGATGTGTGGAGCACTTGAACGTGAACATGTGTGTTCATGGGATATGTATGGTATTGGATTTATGTGATTATTAAATACGAATATGCTAATTAGTGATCATTTTATGTGTTAGGTGGTATGACTAGGATTGGACTTCCGATTAGACAAGGACAGTACATGGGGGAACATGTAAGTGGTCTTCACCCTCTTCTTAAATAATATCAAATCTCTGAAAAGATGTCGTATAAAAGAATTATTCTATCTTGTTGTGACTACTAAATTGTTCATGGAATGTTTGATTGAGTATTGTGATTAGCTTTGGTTAATGACATCAAAATTGAATGATCGGGTTTGGATATTGTTATTAGTTTTCGCTAATAGCATTTAAGAGGGATGATCGAGTTTGGATATTGTGATTAGCTTTGATTAATAACATCTGAGATGGATGAACAAATTTGGATATTGTAATTAGCTTTGGCATCCAAGAGAGATGATCGAGTTTGGATATTGTAATTAGCTTCGACTTATGGCATCCGAATTGGATGGTCGGGTTCAAGTAATGCGATAGACCATGGTTAATGGTGTCCATAAATGATGATCAATGTAAAGCAAAGTAATTTAACCACAATCAATGTACTGACTCTAGTACCTATAACTCCTATAAAGAGGTTGGGATGTACGAGTAAGGATAATACAATTGATGAAATAATAAGGCTTGTATTATGCATATAAGGGGTAAAGGAAGGAACTTACTCATTTAGGTTATTGACAGAAAGTAGTGATAATATTCTTTTAAATATTTATTATCATGTTTAAATTATTTATAATTCTTGTATCCATTTTGTGTTCTAACAGGGACGTCACACAATTAAGGTGCATAGGAATCTAATCTCACGGGTCTATATATTTTGTTATAAATTATATATCTGTATGTTAAGATGTTATGTATTTTGTTTGAATAAATGTATTAGCTGTGAAATTGTCGTTGAACATTTTTGTAAAGACTTGTAATGATAACTATATCAAAACATGAATGTAAACTTATGAATATGTAAATATAATGATATAGTGCTCTGATTAGTATTTAAAAGTGCATTTTTATCAAGATTTTATATCATCATTTTGCACTTGAAGTATTAATAACTTTTTAACTAAAACATGTTTTATAATAACATATCTAATAATATAAGATATTTTTAATTTGTGGTAAATGTTTATTTTAAATGCAAGTCTCTCATATAAATGAAATGATTGATTAATGAATTTAAGAACTGAAATTGAAAGGACAAAAAGATGGCCAAACCTAGAAAAGAGATGCTGGTGCAGTCCAAAATAGAACACTTTGTGGTAATTGGGTCATATCTAGAGTTTTAGATCTTGGATTTAGATCTACTTTATATGAATTTAAGTATAGTGTAAACTTAATATAGATTTTAATGTTTAATACTAACATATTTTGTATTTGTTATCTTGTTCACTGTTTAATTCTTTGCTTGTTAAATGACTAATCTAGATTTATATTGTATAACACTTGATGCAACAAATACTTGGCACTCTTATAACTCATATTGTATTGTATAACCAACACTGAGCTATGAAAGGAACTTAATTTGTTGTTAACATAAGTTATAATTATGAATATCTGATGAGATTTACAAGTATTAGCATTAGTCTAATAAGATAACTAATGTGATCATATTAACAATTTATAATTTGATTGAAACCTCCTTTGTGTGTGGTTTCCAATTGAATAATAAGAGTTTATACTATACTTGTTTGATATACCATTAGTGGAACCTCTAACCTTGATATTTGTTATTATCATTGATTAATTCTTATATTAATATTCCATCTCAAAGTTCCCATCTTCTTTTTATTCTTCTCCACCTCTTTCTTTATTATTGTTATTATTGTTGTTGTTGTTATATTATTGTCATTTATAATTTATACAATTAACTTTCTTATGGTTCGATCCCAATCTTGCCGGATTATTTATTACTTCGATACTCGTGCACTTGGAAGAAAACATCAATCTTTTAGTCGTGTCATACTTGTATTGCTAATTCTCTTTTATTAAGATGTTGAATTCTGAGATTTTATGAGTATTGGATTATATGAAATGATGATACCTATAAGAAGCAATTATGGTGAAATAAAAGAAAATACCATCAACTTCAGCTTTTGAGTAATTGGGATATTATAGAAGGGTTGTTTAAAGCCATTGTTTGTCTGAGTCACTAACAAAACATACTTGGGGGTAATGGTCAAAACAAGGGGGCAATATTATATTTAGAAAGTGATTAGATACCCTTAAGGCAATAATGAAATGAGAATGATTCTAGTAGTGAGATAATGAGACATTTTTGTTTACAAAAAGCACTTTGACCCTTTCAAGGTCACTAGCAACACTAATTATTGCTAGTAGTGAGATGAGGGAATAATAAATGATCTCTTTAAAATGATCGGTAAGACAAAGAATTTCTAGCAAGTAAATGAGTTGTGATGAGCGTCGTAAAGGCTGAGCTGTGTAAAATTATAAATACTCCGAAAAAGACTTATATAGGCTAATTTGAGTGGGTTAGGAGCAATGTTGTATTTAAAAGGTAATTAGATCCTTTAAAGGCAAAAGTGAAATGAGAATGATTTTAGTAGTGAGATAATGGGACATTTTTGCTTATAAGAAGTATTTTGACCCTTTTAAGATAACTAGTGACACTAAATATTGCTAGTAGTGAGATAAAGGAATAATAAATTATCCCTTCAAACTGATCAGCGAGACAAAGAATTTCTAACAAGTAAATGGGTTGTGATGAGTATCATAAAAGCTGAGCTGTGAAAAATTATAAATATTCTGGAAAAGACTTATATAGACTAAATCGAGTGGGTTAGAAGCTAAGTAATTAAGATGACTCAAATCAGAAAGAGAATACCTTACCAAATTAAGCAACAAATAGACTAAGAAGAAATAAGGACCTATATTACAAATCAAGTAAAGATGCATGCATATCATTTAACTCCAAAGCATTGAATAATATGTTTTGCAGAAAATTCACAAGAAAAATCTATGGTGGGGTCCATCAAAAGGCTAGTCATCTAGAAACTGCCAAATTTCAGAATACCAATGAAAATTTTTAAGTCACTCTAAACAATTAGTCCACTTTTAAAAAATATCTGAATTTTTCACTAACTGGCAGGTCGAATGGAACAATTAGATCACTTTTTTTGAAATTTTAACCATAATAAGGGTAGGCCGTATAGAAAAATTAGATCATTTTTGAAAAATCTCTAATTTGTTTTTCACTAATAGACAAATTGCCTGGAACAATTAGACTATTTTTAAAAATCTTTATGTTTTTTACTCGAACATATCACTTATTAAAATGAGATCAATGTTGAAAGATTTGCATGTTTTTCACAAATAAATAGGTCACTTGGAAAATGAGATCGATGTTGAAATCATTTTCATGTATTTCACAAATGAGTAAGTCACTTAAAAAATAAGATCAGTGAAATCACTTTTATGTATTTCACAAACGGGTAGGTCAACTAGAAAATGAGATCAATGTTCAAATCATTTTCATGTATTTCACGAATAGGTAGGTTATTTAGAAAATAAAACCAATATTGAAATCATTTTTACGTATTTCACAAATGAGTAGGTTGCCTAAAATAATTAAACCACTTTTGAGAAATCTTTGAATTTTTCACACCATTAAGAAGGTCGCCTAAACCAATTAGACTATTTTGAAAAATCTTTGTAATTTTTATGAACAAGTCGCATAGAAAAATAAGATCATTTTAAAAAAA